CATCGCATGATCTTCCTCGTCAATTTCTGAAACTAAAATGGTTTCCAAAGTTTTGATTTGATTCAGATGAAAAGAATAATTGAATAATCGTGTTTTGATTTGCCCTCTATAAGAGGAAGCCGAAAATAATTTACGAAGGCACAGTCTGAAAACTGAATATCGTCAAGTCACACAAGTTCGATCGTCATGTAACTTCGATCGCCCATTTTGAATGGTAAGTGTCGCAATATGTAGCGATAACTTACGATATCTGCAGCTTTGATCTTCTGGTGACACCACTTTCACTCGTTTGGACCGGAAAATGTTTCGTGTCAAGTTACCAAATGTACGTTATAGCTCATTTTCAGCAAACAACTTCGTTTTAACCCTAGATCAATAATGTAACTTTATCAGCTCAAATAAAATGTAAACAGTATAATTTTCACACGTTGTAAATTGACAGCACACCTGTCTTCTGTTTGTTTACGTTGCTGGTCTAATTGTGACATGTCCAGACACGTGATATCCTTGTCAAAATTTAAAACTTTGGAAACAAGTAAGGGCCATTTCTTATAGAAAACTTAATGCTTTTTGAGAATTTCCGTGAATTTGTACCTGATGAAGTTCGAGCTATTGCCTCATTGATAAATACAACCTGGGCACAATATACCCACCCTACATGTCAGCACAGAACACATTTACGTTTCTGCAAGCCAGTTCGTGGTGTTTGTCTACATTCTGAGGTTTGATGCCCATCACGATGTGCCTGAAGTATAATTCCCTGCATAATACTTGTATATAAGCTGAATGTTTGTGACTTTTCATCGTTTTTAGAAGTATTGAAACATAAAATGAACGTTTCATGGACATAAATACCATAAATTACTTGGGACTGCTCTAACTCTGAATTTGACACAAGAGATCGTCCTTACAAGTCATCCTGGTTATGCGACAAGCCAGCCAATCATATGATCGAACTTATGTGACGTAGCTTTCCTGGGTCACGTGTGTTGACAGTGAGAGGGTGGCCATGCCGCGATTGTGAAAAGCAGTAAAAATACCTGGATTTTGGAAAGTTTAGAGGTAAGAGATTTGAAAATAAGATTATATGAATAAAACTTTGAAACTTCAGTGACAGTTCTTAAGTGATCGAACTTACATGACACAAGGATAATTTAAATAAATCTAGATTGATGCATATATGCTGTTCTTATTGTAAGAACTAGTATAAACGTTCTCTGGTTATCATTGACGTGACCAAATGTCAAGGACGATAAGGACAAACTAAAGTGACGTACAAAAGGCAATAAAACGCACATGCTGTTGTGGGATCATTGGAATTATTTTCAAAAACCCCCCCAAAAATCCGACATAAATATTTTCAAAAGTGTTTTGATTGTAACTTACAAGTCACAGCAATGGTGTACATGTTGCCAAAAAACCGAAGATAGTGACGTTGATAGCGCCCCATGTTCCTAGTCTGTGGGCATCAGGGTCTATCGACCATTTCGGGGGGGATGTCATTAACCCGGCAACATCAATCGACTACGTCCAGCTGGCCATATACCCGTACAATATTTGTGACGTGCAAGCCACAATCAAATAACGTTTAGAAGAATTTACTTTGTGTTGGGAAAATAATCCCCAAACCCCGGGTGTTGACTTTCTGTGTTGGGAAAATAATCCCCAAACCCTGGATTTACCAAATACTAAGAGGGGAAAATGTGCGTTCTTTCACTTGCAATTTTGAGACGTTCAACGTCCAGCAGAAAGTCATGACTACCATTCTTTTGAAAAAGTACAACTCATTCAAAAAACATCAACAACACACATAAAAAATACAGGTATATCACTCATATATCATTTGAAACTGGGCCACCGTCATATTGCTGGAATATTGCTAAACTGGGTCATAGAAATTATTACATCTGTTATGAGCCCCTTCTGGAAGGCCCACTGAGTAGGGGCATACATTGCTCCTATATCCCCAAGGGTATGATCCTACTGTGAGGTGAGCATTTTGAATTAGCTTATCGTCATCTGTATAGCAAAAGGCTTATGGGAATCGACAGCTTTTTATTAAGAAAATAAACTGTTCAGATCAACTCCGATGAATGTTGCTTTTTAGATAAACTACTGCTCAAAAGAAACTATACACCGCAAAAATATTACATACAAATTCACAAACATAACAATGAAATGATAAAACCTAATGTACCATGTCTCACACGTACAGACACCTCCTTTCCGGGAACAAACAGTAACACGTAGTAAAAAGAACTAAAAAAATATGACTCGTTTGAGGCAAATTGAAAGAGACCGAGCTGTCGGGATGGCCCAACAAGGAGGTAACCACACCGTCAGTGCCAAAACCTTCGGCTGCACCCGAGTAACTGTCATCACACTGATGCAAAGACTCGGACAAACACCGCGGAGTGCACCTGACTCTTCGTAGACGAGAGTAGGTTTTGCCTGTACAGTAATGACGACCGGGCTCGTGTTTAAAGACGAGTAGGTGAACGTTTAGCGCCGAATTCGAATTGCGTTCAGCACGCCCGACCGTTTGGTGTCGAAAGCGTGATGGTTTTGGAGACGTGATTATTCATGGCAACCTGAATGCTCGAAGATACAGATATGAAGTTTTGCGATCAGTTGTGTTGCCATTAATCCAGCAACAGCCACGAAGCATTGTCTGCTAGGGCTGGATATTGCCCTGATTCTCATATTGCGATATATTGCAATAATTCAAGAGATATTGCAATACATATTGTGATGTATTGACTGGAAGGTTTCTGTCCAAGTGCGTACATCATAAATTCATAATACCTCTCTGTCTGCGACATCATCTTCTTAGTTGCTGTTACACCATACTTTCAGGCTCCCTGTCCCCACTGTATATGGGCAGGGATAATCTACAACTTATATAGTCTCCCTGATATGGGTGTATGCCAGTGGTGTACAGATAAATGATATAGAGCCTTAATGTGGAATGTTTCATTGAAGTAACTGTAATGCAACAAAGTTTTGCGAACGTAATGATAAAGGTTATACATGTAGTATAGCATGAATTTCATGGTCAGTGTTGTTTGCTTCAACAGAATGCACTCCATTGTTACTGTTTGTCAGTGATTCATTCAGATTCAATTCCAACATAAACTTGTGTTGACATAAACTGTTGTAAAATGAAACAAAAGCATGATTTAGGTGAACTACTTGAGCAAAAAATCTCATGTGACCTCCAATAACTAAGATCCTTGACTAGAATGCCATTATACAGTCCTGCAAGATTTATAAGACTTTGGCCTTTATCATAAATTGATAACATATGTCCATTATGAAACAAAACAAAAATAACAAAATAAGGTGAATTGTGAAATGGTCACTCAGAGCCAGTAGCTCTGCTTATAAGTCCTAATAAAAGATTGGTCAAATGTTTGAAGGACATTTAGAAGTGGAATGCATAAGAAAAGCAAGTTTTATGGATGTCAACTTTTTTATTGTGAATATTCATGACCTGATGAAGGAGCGAGCATACACTCCGAAAACGTTGTGTAATTCACAACAAGAAGACGACGTCCATATTGGTCCATTTGAGGCCATTTAATTCCTCCAATGAAACGTCACATATGAAACCATTCAACCCCCAAAACCTAAAGCATTTGGTAGAATATTTGGTACTTTTGGAGCCACTTATAAAGACACTTCCACTTGTAAAATGTCACATGAAACATGAAACAGAAAAGCAACAAAGGTATATTTGGCACTTTTAGATCACATGTTGTTGCTATGGAAATTAAGGACAGATCATTCAAATGGAATTAACTTTGGATGACCCAATATATTGCAGATAATCGTATCGCGAGATACTGTACCGGTATATACCGGTTAACCGGTAATATTGCACAGCCCTATTGTCTACCAACACAATAACGCAAAGCCTCATCCTACAAGACTGACAAACGACTTCCTGCACAACGCTAACACCGTTGTTTTGTCGTGCCCAGCATGTTCTCCCAACATGAATCCGATAGAACACTTATGGGACTACCTGGATTGACAAATCAGAAGATCACCAGCGCCACCTGTCACTGCTCATCAACTGGAACAATCTCTCCTACAGGAATGGCAGTAATGGCAACGGATCACGCCTAACGTCATTTGTCGTCTTACGTTATCAATGCGTCAATGTGTTGTTATGGCGTGTATTGAAACCAATGGTGGTCACACTCACTATTGATTCAACATTTGATGAGAATTGCAGAAAAAAAGCCTTGTTGATTTGTGTAAAAGTTCAGAATATGATACCACTTGTCAGTCAAATGGTACTTTCGAATTTGTATGAAATGAAATTGTGTATATTTACTGTACAATTGAATACTCCAATAGAATTAAACAGATGTTCATATGCTTTTGTTTTCTTTTTACGTTTGGTCAAACACACTGGATACTTTCTTTTCAGCACTAGTTTATATGTTTGGCATGGCGCCATTACATATGTTCAAACATAATTAAGCAATTAGTTTGAATGACACAAAAAAAACATGTACTTGAAAGTATCCCAAACTATTAAAACACCCAGTGATGACGACATAAATATCACAGAGTCAATATTTTAAAATAAAATACGTAAAGAGGGATGATTAGTTAATATTTTATTCCCTTCTTATTATAAGTTAAAACCTGTTATAGGTTTCAAGAACGTAATTACTTAAATACAAACAATTACACCTAGAAGAAAAAGGAAGCGTTATGCATATCTTTGAAACATTTGAAACACGTAGACTTTATTCAGTACCAGTACATAGAGGATATCTAATAATTTCTGAACGTGAAATGATACGGGGGTCGTAGGTTTTAAACGGTAATTATTTAACTATACCGTCACAAATGTAACAACTTCCTTACGGATTAGAAGCTAAATGTTTTGAAACTATGTCTAATGAGTCATGATTGAAACTACTTTTAACAATACAAGGTAGGATATCAAGGAAGCATGTATGGTTTCTGAGAAGTATGATGTATGTTTTCCCAGAACGCTACTTTTTCTGACATGATGCAGCGGCGTGGAGTGACAGCTCTGATACTGATGATGGGGCTGCTGATGCAAGCAGGTAAATTTCCTTTGTTACTTTTGCCGTACTCAGACAGTTTCCTTACTTTCATCATTTCATCCAAATAGTTTCCATCACTAGTTTGACTTTAAAGCTCAATGGAAGCTGATTTGGCAAATAATAGAAACTGATTACTTCGCTTGTGCATGTTATACATGTAGAAGTCACCAGCAAACTATGTTCGTCTTACAAAGGGGCTAAAATTGTCAGGTGATTTGGTAAGCTGCGTACCCTACTATCCCAGGGGAAACAACCTTTACTCATATTTATCAGTCACTGCTTTGTCGGATCTAGTTTCCCATTTATTGTATCTCGGAGGAGTGGATCTTTACTCTTATCTGTTTCTAGTAACCCGGCAGAGTGTTTTTTTTTATTCTTATCCGTTTCTAGTAACCCGACAGAGTAGATCTTTACTCTTATCCGTTTCTAGTAACCCGGCAGAGTAGATCTTTATTCTTATCCGTTTCTTGTAACCCGGCAGTGTGGATCTATATTCTTATGTGTTTCTAGTAACCCGACAGAGTGGATCTTTATCCGTTTCTATCCCGGCGTACTGGACCTTTACTCTTATCTGTTTCTAGTAACCCGGCAGAGTAGATCTTTATTCTTATCCGTTTCTAGTAACCCGGCAGAGTGGATCTTTATTCTTATCCGTTTCTAGTAACCCGGCAGAGAGGATCTTTATTCTTATCTGTTTCTAGTAACCCGGCAGAGTGGATCTTTATTCTTATCCGTTTCTTGTAACCTGACAGAGTGGATCTTTATTCTTATGTGTTTCTAGTAACCCGACAGAGTGGATCTTTATTCTTATCCGTTTCTAATAACCCGGCAGAATGGATCTATATTCTTATCTGTTTCTCTAGTAACCCCTGCAGAGTGGATCTTTATTCTTATCCGTTTCTAGTAACCCGGCAGAGGGATATTTTTTCTTATCTGTTTCTAGTAACCCGGCAGAGTGGATCTTTATTCTTATCCGTTTCTTGTAACCCGGCAGAGTGGATCTTTATTCTTATGTGTTTCTAGTAACCCGACAGAGAGGATCTTTATTCTTATCCGTTTCTTGTAACCCGGCAGAGAGGATCTTTATTCTTATCCGTTTCTAGTAACCCGGCAGAGAGGATCTTTATTCTTATCCGTTTCTAGTAACCCGGCAGAGTGGATCTTTATTCTTATCCGTTTCTAGTAACCCGGCAGAGTGGATCTTTATTCTTATCCGTTTCTAGTAACCCGGCATACTGGACCTTTACTCTTATCTGTTTCTAGTAACCCGGCAGAGTTGATCTTTATTCTTATCCGTTTCTAGTAACCCGGCAGAGTGGATCTTTATTCTTATCCGTTTCTAGTAACCCGGCAGAGTGGATATTTGTTCTTATCTGTTTCTAGTAACCCGGCAGATTGGATCTTGATTCTTATCCGTTTCTTGTAACCTGACAGAGTGGATCTTTATTCTTATGTGTTTCTAGTAACCCGACAGAGTGGATCTTTATTCTTATCCGTTTCTAATAACCCGGCAGAATGGATCTATATTCTTATGTGTTTCTAGTAACCCTGCAGAGTGGATCTTTATTCTTATCCGTTTCTAGTAACCCGGCAGAGCGGATCTTTGTTCTTATCTGTTTCTAGTTACCCGGCAGATTGGATCTTTATTCTTATCCGTTTCTTGTAACCCAACAGAGTGGACCTTTATTCTTATGTGTTTCTAGTAACCCGACAGAGTGGATCTTTATTCTTATCCGTTTCTAGTAACCCGGCAGATTAGATCTTTACTCTTATCCATTTCTAGTAACCCGGCTGAGTAGATCTTTATTCTTATCCGTTTCTAGTAACCCGGCAGTGTAGATCTTTTTTCTTATCCGTTTCTAGTAACCCGTCGGAGTGGATCTTTAGTTTTATCCGTTTCTAGTAACCCGGCAGAGCGGATCTTTATTCTTATCCGTTTTCTAGTAACCCGGCAGAGTTGATCTTTATTCTTATCCGTTTCTAGTAACCCGGCAGAGTGGATTTTCATTCTCATCTGTTTCTAGTAACCCGGCAGATTAGATCTTGACTCTTATCCGTTTCTAGTAACCCGGCAGAGTAGACCTTTATTCTTATCCGTTTCTAGTAACCCGACAGGGTGGATCTTTATTCTTATCTGTTTCTAGTAACCCAGCAGAGCGGATCTTTATTCTTATCCGTTTCTAGTAACCCGGCAGAATGGATCTATATTCTTATCTGTTTCTTGTAACCCTGCAGAGTGGATCTTTATTCTTATCCGTCCTAGTAACCCGGCAGAGTGGATATTTGTTCTTATCTGTTTCTAGTAACCCGGCAGATTGGATCTTGATTCTTATCCGTTTCTTGTAACCTGACAGAGTGGATCTTTATTCTTATGTGTTTCTAGTAACCCGACAGAGTGGATCTTTATTCTTATCCGTTTCTAATAACCCGGCAGAATGGATCTATATTCTTATCTGTTTCAAGTAACCCGGCAGAGTAGACCTTTATTCTTATCAGTTTCTAGTAACCCGACAGGGTGGATCTTTATTCTTATCTGTTTCTAGTAACCCAGCAGAGCGGATCTTTATTCTTATCCGTTTCTAGTAACCCGACGGAATGGATCTATATTCTTATCTGTTTCTTGTAACCCGGCAGAGTGGATTTTTATTCTTATCCGTTTCTTGTAACCCGACAGAGTAGATCTTTACTCTTATCCGTTTCTAGTAACCCGGCAGAGTAGATCTTTATTCTTATCCGTTTCTTGTAACCCGGCAGAGTGGATCTTTATTCTTATCTGTTTCTAGTAACCCGGCAGAGAGGATCTTTATTCTTATCCGTTTCTAGTAACCCGGCAGAGTGGATCTTTATTCTTATCTGTTTCTTGTAACCCGGCAGAGTGGATCTTTATTCTTATCCGTTTCTAGTAACCCGGCAGAGTGGATCTTTATTCTTATCCGTTTCTAGTAACCCGGCAGAGTCGATCTTTAGTCTTATCCGTTTCTAGTAGCCCGGAAAGTAGATCTTTATTCTTATCTGTTTCTAGTATCCCGGCATAGTGGATCTTGATTCTTATGCTTTATCTGTTTCTTGTAACCCGGCAGAGAGGATCTTTATTCTTATCCGTTTCTTGTAACCCGGCAGAGTAGATCTTTACTCTTTTCCGTTTCTAGTAACCCGGCAGAGTGGATCTTTATTCTTATCCGTTTCTTGCAACCCGACAGAGTTGATCTTTATTCGTAATATCAGTCAAGGGCTTTTCTGGTTTAGTTTCCCGTTTCTATTATAGTATTCCGGTAAGGTGAATCCTAACTCAAAATATCAACCGCGAGTTGTCTGGTGTTGTCTGTTTCCAGTAACACGGCAGAGAGAATCTATATTCAGAATGTTAATCAATGGTTTTCTTGTCTGGTTTTCCGTGTCTAGTAACCCCGCGGAGTGGATAATATCAACCACCGGTTTGCCTGGTGAAGTGTCCCATTTCTTTTATCGCGGCGGTTTGAAACTCTACTCATAATGTCAATGACTGGTTGTCTTGTGTGGTTTCCCATTTCTTGTATCTCGGAGGAGTGTATATTTATATTCATCTGTTTCTTGTAACCTGGCAAGGTGTATCTATATTAGAAATATCGGTCACTTGTTGTCTTGTCTAGTTTCCCGTTTACTGTATCCCGGAGGAGTGGATCTTTACTTAAAACATCGATTAATTCTTTATGTGGTCCAGTCATCCGGTTGTAGTGTAGTCCCAGTCTATTATCCCGGTGAGGTTCGTACTTCCAATGTTGATCACTGGTTTGTCTGGTGTAGTTTCCCGCTTCTATTATCCCGGTGAGGTTATTCATAATGTAGGTTATTCATAATGTAAATTCCCGTATTTTATTATCCAGGTGAGGTTATTCATAATGTAAATCATTGGTTTATCTGGTGTAGTTTCCCGTTTCTATTATCCCGGTGAGGTTATTCATAATGTAAATCACTGGTTTGTCTGGTGTAGTTTCCGTTTTTATTATCCCGGTGAGGTTATTCATAATGTAAATCACTGGTTTGTCTATCCCCCGGTGAGGTTATTCATAATGTAAATCACTGGTGTAGTTTGTCTATTATCTTGGTGAGGTTATTCATAATGTAAATCACTGGTTCTATTATCCCGTTTCTATTATCCCGGTGAGGTTATTCATAATGTAAATCACTGGTTTGTCTGGTGTAGTTTCCGGTTTCTATTATCCCGGTGAGGTTATTCATAATGTAAATCACTGGTTTGTCTGGTCTTTCTATTATCTTGGTGTTATTCATAATCTTGGTGTAGTTTCCGGTTTCTATTATCCCGGTGAGGTTATTCATAATGTAAATAACTGGTTTGTCTGGTGTAGTTTCCGGTTTCTATTATCCCGGTGAGGTTATTCATAATGTAAATAACTGGTTTGTCTGGTGTAGTTTCCGGTTTCTATTATCCCGGTGAGGTTATTCATAATGTAAATAACTGGTTTGTCTGGTGTAGTTTCCGGTTTCTATTATCCCGGTGAGGTTATTCATAATGTAAATAACTGGTTTGTCTGGTGTAGTTTCCGTTTCTATTATCCCGGTGAGGTTATTCATAATGTAAATAACTGGTTTGTCTGGTGTAGTTTCCGTTTCTATCCCGGTGAGGTTATTCATAATGTAAATAACTGGTTTGTCTGGTGTTGTTTCCCGTTTTATTATCCCGGTGAGGTTATTCATAATGTAAATAACTGGTTTGTCTGGTGTAGTTTCCCGTTTCTATTATCCCGGTGAGGTTATTCATAATGTAAATCACTGGTTTGTCTGGTGTAGTTTCCCGTTTCTATTATCCCGGTGAGGTTATTCATAATGTAAATCACTGGTTTGTCTGGTGTTGTTTCCCGTTTCTATTATCCGGGTGAAGTTATTCATAATGTAAATCACTGGTTTGTCTGGTCTAGTTTGTTGTGGATATTTATGCTAACATCTTATCCTAATAAAGCATATAAACAAGGATTCAAGATAGTTTTAGAAACTGCAGTATAACAGACTTGCATGGGCTGTACAGGCTGTTTCTGTTTCAGCGTCTATAAATCAGACAAGTGGATATTCCGAGAGCCTGTAAATAAAAGCATGCGTGTAGTCAACTCGAGCGATCGCATCCGTTTGAACTGCAGTTCGTGTTTTTATCTTCTTCCTTGCATGAAGATGCACGTTTACATAATATCACCGGGTTGGAAAACTAGGCTGTTCGCGGTCCTTCCTGCTCATTGCTGTCGGCTAACTTCGGCATTATTCGGCATCAGTTACATACCAGACCGTAGAGCTGATGGGTGATGATAAACTGTTGGGGACGGCCGCGCCTTGAAAATGTGATCTCTGTTAATACTAATTGGGTGGGGTGGGGTGTGGGGTGTGTGTGTGTGTGTGTGTGTTGTGTTTGTTGAGTGTGATTAGCGCCTCACTATGATCTATCATCTCTACACGCAATGTTACCGAACAAGCCCAGGGATGTTTTCAATATTTCACATGTAATATTTGGAAAGTTTAGATTCTTGTACCCTTGGTAGGTCCCATCCGATCTGGGATTTAAACCCACACTCTCTGTCAGTCACATTATCGCCAGCACACACAAACAGCCATTTAACCCACTCATCCAGCGCGGCTTTCAATAATTGCTTGTAAAACCTGTCCGCTCAATGCATGCGTTTTGTTTTGAACACTGTGCAAAACCAGCTTATTGTTATTAAACAGGTATTTTCAACGTGTTTATTTGAAGTATTCTGTTATTTTCACAGACGCTCTTCCAAGGGTGTCCGAGCCACGCTTACGACGTACGCGGTACATTCACCAAGGGCATGATGTTATCCTCATGTGCTTAGCTAAGGGCATCCAGATATTCAGGTACAATTTAAAACTGGATAAAACATATTTGTATTCTAGTGGAAAAAACAATCCCGCGGTCGTTCGTAATTCTAAATGTTATCAACATGAATGATCCTATGTTACAGGTTCACTTGGATGAAATACGGGCAACGAATGCATGTTTCGACTGGGCATTTCGGACGCTTGACCATAGAGAACTTCACACTACGTGACCAAGGTCACTATACGTGCAGGGTGGACGACGACGAGGGCTATGACGTCTCTCCGGCAGTGTCTCTGGTTCTAGCACGTGAGAGATTTCACTTCCTATAGAACAAGGGCTAAGGTTGTTTGTTATTATAGTGGAGACCATTGGTCCAAATGTTTAGTTTGAGTTCAGGACTTTCAAGGATAATATCAGGTCCAGTTTAAGGGGATTTAAGCTGGCTGAGTGCTTTTGAGAATAATTACTTTATATCATCTTATTTAACAACAAATATGGCTACAAAGTCAAATGTTTTTACTTGAAAGTTAACTTAAAGGTTAACGTCCTGAAATATCTTCGACAGTCACAAATAGGACTTTGACATTTGCCACCTCAAGGAAGTTATTCAAAAAACTGAGATGTAAGTACGGTTGCTTTGAAAACAAGTGAAACAGGACATATGACGCATGTACATGTTGTATAACGATATTAATGCTTTTTACTTTGTGAGTCTGAAATTAAACATCCTTCCTGGTAGTTTTACAAGACGGGGTGTAACATAAGTGCAGCCTAATATACAATATATATCCATGTATTAAACAGAAACAATGAACAACATATGTAAATGCACTGTAAAATGTTGAGTGGTTTTGATTAAGTTAGAAATAAATTTCATTTACGTAAACGTGCAAAACATCTGATTCAGAATGAAGTGACACATTAATGCCATTCACATGTCATCTATTCTACACATCATCAAAATAAATAATAAATGCCTTTTCGCGAACACCTGGTGTCATTGCTGATTTTCAGTGGTCCATTCATGTGATTTAAAAAGCCCTTTTGCCCTTTGCAATATATTTTGTAGGATAGTAACAGCTGATTATGTTTTTGCACTGATGTTATATTTTCACTTGAACTGGGTCGAGGTTTCTGCCGGCAGACTGAAGTCCCCGAGATTCATCCTATAAACATCACTGATGTTATATATTGACTTGAACTGGGTCGATGTTTCTGCCGGTAGACTGAAGTCCCCGAGATTCATCCTATAAACATCACTGATGTTGATGTCATCATATGACTTTCACAGATAACTTCTATTCACATAGAATGGAAAATATTTATACGGATAGTCAAAACTGGCTACGCAGATGTTATAAACTGATCAGTGAAGATCCGGGTTAGAGTTGATCTTCAGTAACCCATGCTTGTCGTAAGAGGCGACTAACGGGATCGGGTGGTCAGGCTCGCTGACTTGGTTGACACATGTCATCGTATCCAACTACGTAGATCGATGCTCATGATGTTTTTGTTTTTCGCTCATGATGTTGAACACTGGATTGTCTGTTCAGGCTCGATCTTTTACAGACTGCCGCCATATAGATGGAATATTGGCGTTATGTTTGACATTTAACAACAAACATACCAAATATATTTACTGTATATTTTCAGAAATTGATGACCAATGGAATGTTGCTGTGAGAATCAAGATGACGCATGACATGTCCCCCATGTCACTTACCTGTGATCATCCGCCATTCTGCGTTCCCACTGGGAAGTACGATTGGTATAGAATTGAAGGAGAGACGCCAAGCCAGGTCAAGACTAGCAACAACATCATGATTGACAATAACGGTATTTCAGTAATCTCTCAAGTAATGTTTTTCGCAAACAGTTTCTATTGAAAATAATAAAACTGTTTGTGTTGTATCCTTACCGTAATTCAAAATTAAAATCTCGCTTTTAGTTTAAACAAAATCAGATAATGAACTATCTTGAAGTCGGAATGCTAGTGCATAAATTCATTGTTTGCTTTTGTGCCGCCTTGCATGGCATTCGGTAATTCGAGGTTTGCAAAAATAGTCATAAAGAAAGTTAACAGATTTGTTTTATCCGATATAACACATCAAACTGAATCTTAATAATGAACACATCGGCCTTTTGATCATGAGAATTATGTATACGTTTGAGTGGAACTCAGACACAAGATGGTGGCAGCTGCCATCAAACTTTACCAGTGTACCTGAATATTTATGTAACCTACGACCTAGCTCTGCCGTGTTCTAGAAGTAAGTTCTTGTAATTTCTACTCATTTCGCCATTCAGATTGAAATTAAAGTAAATAAAAACGTTCTTTATTAGATTAGGCAGACAGAGTTATCTCCCTTCAACGTGACACATGATAGCGATAGATGTGATAGCGAAAACTAACAGTTATTATGGTCTTTGAAAGGGTAACGATAACCACGTGTTATGATGGGACGATAGATATCCGGTTTGATATCCTAATGTATGATTCGGAAAAATATATTTCACTTACAGCTGGCATTTCGTGTCCCGATGTATGCATATAACGAAGGTCAGAATACTGTAATAAGCCAGCTAGCAGTAGGTACAGGAGCGCTATTTGGAGTATTCAGCATTCGGAGCTGATATCTGACTCAATCTTAAATACCAACCAAGGAACTTCCGATTGAGGACAGTTGACCGCGCTATTCCCTGCATTGTTCACTTGGTGTTTTGGGTGCCATTAGTTCCAGAGTTCATGCCCTCTGTCGCCCGTTCAGAGGAGAGAGAGAGAGAGAGAGAGAGAGAGAGAGAGAGAGAGAGAGAGAGAGAGAGAAGCGAGCGCTCCTAACGCCGAAGACCTGAGTTCAGTCAGTTCCCAAATGCGTACAATGCGTGAAACCCATTTCTGGAGTCACTTGTCGTGATATTGCTAAAATCGGCGTAGAGCCTTATTCCTTCACTCATATTGACTGGGAGCATGTGAGCATAAGCATGGTTTTCTTAGGCTTTATCTATTATTTTATACAGATGACACCAAGACAGCTACGGGTGTGAGAGGCTTACGTTTATTATATACGATAGTCACCTGTAATAAGAAACAACAGATAATATAGTATATGCATATTAAAACATAATATAATATTATATATCATTATCATCATAAAAGCAATACAATCATTTCTGTTACATTACTTACAACTATGTATTATTAGATGATACGATAGAAAATGCCATACAGTACATATTAAGTAAAATGGTTACAATATACCTCCCATGTGTGCACAAGGGTGAAAACGTGATAATTCTTTGAAATGTCACCATTCATGATATGTCCTGCAGAAGAAAGAGCATGAATAAATGCTTAGAGAGTGACTAAATAATACATTGAATAACAAAATGCATTAGCTTATGCAATTCCATTAATGTAGATATACTGTAGGTAACTTAGCATGTATACAAGATAATATTAAAATACAATTATTGCTTTAGGGTTAAAGTTCAGCCTCTAAACCACATTCATTCAAAACATTAATAGAAATATATAATTCCAATGTAAATATAATTACTTCTTAGATGCTTATTTATAATGCATAATCTTTGATTACTATTTAATCCTATTTAGAAATAAAGATGAATTATAAACTAACCTTTTGTGGTGATCTGTGAATACTCCCAGTGCAGTGCATGAGTGAAATGGCAATATGGAGTTAGTCAGGCAAGAAGGTAAAGTTTAAAATTTGATCAATCACAGGATCGCTTGGGGTGTGATTGATCAGCAGAGGAGCTGGACAAAGAATGTAGTGGAGCTTGGGTTGTGATTGATCACTGAGGCCTGGGCTTAGAATGACAAACACACACACACCTCTGTTGAATAAAGTTCAACAGAAACAAAACTTGAAATATATTTATTTTACAAAAATAAGACTAAAATACAAATATATACACCTGCTACACTTCCCTCGGGATGAAAATGATGTCCTCATCATTTGCCTAAAACAAGGGAGAGAAATGCATTCTGTACATCAGTACTGTCGTTGGCGAGAGCATTCCAGCGTTGATAAAGAGAACTGAGATACTCAGCTCTGATCTTCCTGGATGTGGAACTGCCCAAGACATTACATACTCACCACTAGACATCCACCAATGGCTTGTGTCCGAGTCCTCCTGATCTTCTGGGCTTGCTGTGCCGGCACATCTTCAACTGACTCAGGATCATCTTCCACATTGGCGGGTTCTTCCTGGGGCTGCACCAGGATCTGCGTCAGTGGTCTCCACATCTGATGTCTTCTCTGCAGCAGGATCAGCCTCAGCTGAGCATATCTTCAGGCTGGTCTGGCTGGCGAAACCAACTGCGTCTCCAACTAAAATCGTCTTCGTCCAATGCAAAGTCTTCAACTTCTGCTCTAGCCTCAGTTGGCCTATCAGCTATATCCGCAGCTGACACTGACAGTCTCAGACGATGGAAATATATGTCTGACTCGTCATCCCCTCTGGTTCCTCGACTGGAACAGCAAGCTCTCTTTGATCTTCTTGGTTTCTCGGATAGGTCTCAGTGGCTCTGGTGCTAGTGAAAGAATCCGGGCACAGGAGTGCACCAATGGGAAGTAGAAGATTCCGGTGTAAGCTCTCTCCTACCTTCCACCATTCTCCTTTCCGACCACATAGACAGGGATGGAGGGTTGGTTGACGAAGGAACTGTATAAATGTCACCTTCCATCTGTCCTGCTAGTTTGTGTCTTCCTTCAAAGGCGACGGTTTTTAATCCAGGAACTCGGTCACCAGTCTCTATAATTGCTGCTCTTTGCCTTCTTATCAAAGTAGGTCTTCTGATCCTGCTGTGCCTCCTTGCTGTTCTGTGAAAACTAGATGATATGCCTCTTGGAGTCGATCTCTTAATGACTTTGTGTACCTGCTGCAGTGACTTGGGCTTTGCCTTGTGGCTGGATGTCAAGTCAAATGCTAGATCCACTGGAAGTCTTGGGTGACGCCCAAACATAAGGAAGAAGGGGGAATGTCCGGTAGACTCATGCCGAAGAATGCAATTGTATGCATGGACTAAGGGTCCAACATGAAACCTTCCAGTCCCTCTTGGCGTCTGGTTCCAGAGTCCCCAACATATATCACATAGGGTCCGGTTGAAGCGTTCCGCATCCCATTACCCATGGGATGGTAGGGTGTTAATGGACGACCTGTTGATCCCAAAGCAGCAGGGCACAGCTCTGAGCATCAACGCTTACCAACAAAATTGGCTCCTTTGGCAGAGATAAGATCCTCTTGGGCAGACCGTAATGGATGATAAAGTTGTTGGCTCGATCTACTCTGCATCGTCTTGGCTGATGTATTCCAAACAAGGTTAGATGCTTGAGCGTACCAGGTGAAATGGTCGAAGTAATGACCCAACACATACTATTGACCACCCTTGGATGGCTCCAGAGTCAAAGAAGTCCATACAGACCAGTTCCATAGGCTGCAACGTCTGGATGCTCACCAAAGGGGGCTCTGATGGATGTGTTTCACGCTTCCTTTTCAGACACCTCTCACCTTATCTTCAGGTAGTCATCTACATGCCTTGGTCATACCAGGCCGAGTAGAAACGTTCCTTGGCGAGTAGGGATAAGGTCCGATCTCTACCACCTGGGGATGTACTACACGATCTGGCCACAGAAGCTACGAAGGTGCCGAAATCTACATCTGGAAGGTGCTTTTACTAGCTGTTCTTGATCACATCTTCCATCCATGCTGATGACTCCTATATAACCACCACCTTCCCTCAAAGTCAAATGTACCAAATGTCTTCAATAAAGTACGTCATCTCTGGGTCTCAACGGAACTGAGTTCCTATCGGGTCTTGTGGCATTCTCCAGATGTTCCATGATAGCAGCAAAGGGATGTGTCCTTCAGCTGAGCACGGCGCCAATCCTTTGCGTTGGCAGCACACACATGGTCACTTACATCTGCTTCAATTCCTGGAACCACTTCTGTAGACAAACTGGAAACTCTCAACAAGATTAGATTGCACAAAATCTTGGTACAAATAACACTCCACCACATCACGAGACAAGGGTCTTCCATCTGGACGCAGGTCTTTGCTACGGGCAAACGAGACAACACCTCAACATCAACGTTGTTCTTCACCTACGGTCCGGTGCCAGTAGGTAAAAGTTGTAACTTTACTGGAGCGGCTAACCACCGATGTCCTGTAGCGTCAGACGGTGCATGGTAGAATTACACATACGTCAGAGTTATTGTCGATTCGTACTACAGAGTGGTTGCCATTTCAAAATGAGTCATTGAAGTTTCTACAAAGAACGGCCCATTTCAGACACAAGAAACTCAGAGTTTATGCGCTGAATGGTTCCGTTCAGATCGATTCAAACCCTATACTTGCATAGGCAATAACTAGTAAGGTGACCATCAGTAGCTCCCTGGTATGAAGGGCTTTGCTCCTAGGCCATGGGTACTAGCATCCAGTGTGTGCAGCTCGAAGGTCTTGAGGAAGTCCAACAGAGCCAAAGGACTGGAGGTGATGAAGGAGATGTTCTTCAACTCCTGGAAAGCTTCAACTTGAGCGGGACCCCAGTTCAAGCAGTTTGGGATGTGTCTTAGACCTCGACTTCTTGGTGGCACGCTTCGGCATAAGTTCTGAGAGGGGGTCCTGAAGCGATCTTAAGAGAAGTCCCTGGACGAATTTCCGACTGAGTATCAGCAAATCCCAAAGTTCCGGATGTCTTCACCAGGAGTGAATGGTGTTAGCCAGTCGCACAGATCTTGTCTATCTTCTCTGGATCGGCTTCAATCCCCTCAGCTGACACTAGTATATCCAACAGCGTACCTCACCTTTCTCTTTAAAGAACTTGCATTTCTGTGGAGACTGAGCTTCAATCCACATTCTTGTAATCTTCTAAAGACGAGAGCTCCAGCCTCTCCACATGCTCCTCGTATGTGTCCGGGAAGATATGATGAGGTCATCTATGTATATAAGGCGTAGATCTTCAAGTTGAGTCCCTCTAGGCACTTCTCCATAAAGGCGCTGATAGGTCGCTGGGGCGTTTGACAAGCCGAACGGCATCCTGTTGTACTCAAGAAAGAATCCAGAGTGGACCTACAGTAAAAGCCGTTCTCTCCTTTGTGGTCATCATCTATCTCAACTTGGTAATAGCCGCTCTTCATATCCAGCACTGAGTAGAACTTGTTCCTCTTCGAGACAATCTAAAAGTTCTTCAATTCTCGGAGAGCATAACTGTCCTTAATTGTCCGGTTGTTCAGCTGGCGAAAATCTATACATAGACGTTAACGGCCATCTTTGCGCTTAGCTAACACAACGTTGGAAGGCCATGGACTATGAGAGTGTCTAATCACACCAGAGGACAACAGTTCTTGAAGATGACTCGAACCTGATCATACATTGTTGGTGGTATACGCCGATGTCTCTGCTTGAAGGGCACGTCATCATAGAGTTCTATCCGATGCTTGACCATGTTGGAATGTCCAAGATCTTTATCATGTTTAGAGAAGATGTCACCATATCTCCTAATAACCTCCAGTCCCTGTGCAGCTTCATCATGTGTAAGTCCATCTTCCTCCAACTCAATGTCGTCAATCCACTTCTCAGAGTCTGAACATCTCATGTCTGGTAGGTCTTCTATTGTCACAGGTTGAAGTTCACACAGCAGAGCCTTAGTTGGAACAATCATGGTCTGGGTAGTAACATTAGACACATGAACTTGTATCTCATCTGGTCTGTCATGGCAGTATCTCACAACGACTGGTATGATGTCTAAGTCCTTAGAAATAGTAGAGTCTACAGTTGGCTGTATAAGGGCACACTTGTGGATATGGGAATCCCTTTGCACAGTTGTCCACGGATGATGGCAGAACCATTAGCAGGTATGATTACAGGCTTATATTCAATGGATCTAACAAAGCCCAACTTCCCACCATTCTTCTCTAACTCCTTCTCTCCGAAGCATCATACATCTAAAAGGCCAGGTACCAAGGTGTGTAGAGGTTGGCCGTCTGAAGGAATCGGATTCCATTAACCTTTCTGCAGGCATCCAAAAGCACTCCAAGAACATTAGTCCCAAGAAGAGCAGGAACTTTGGCATTATAGCTGGTGTCAGGCACAACAAGTAACAAACAAGTGATGTCATCTTGGTCAATGCAACCATCACCAATACCCTTGACCTTAACCTCAATGTAACCAGAGTAAGGTAATGAGTTTCCACCTGCACATTCAATATTAAGAAGGCTATCTACTGAATGTATGGGAATATGGAGTGAGATACCTATCATAAAAGAGCTAGACACAATAGACACTGTGGCACCCAGTCCACTAACGCCCTAACCGGAATATTCTCAATAAGTATATCTACCTCATTTGAATTCCCAACTAAGTCAGTGTGTGCGAATACACGAGGGCTAGATGTAGCACCTACGGGCGCCCCGGGTCATAAGAGCGTGGCCGAGTTTAAAGGCCTCTTAAGATGGTCAAGACGTACACGACAACCATAATACAAATGTCCGGGATAGCCACACCTGAAACACACACAGGCTCATGATCCGATGCTTGTCCTGGTGTGAGAGATCTGTTGTCGTTAGCTCCAGCCCCAGGTTGATAGAAATAGGAAGGGGCAGCGGCATTCCTTCCCTCGGGAGATGGAGCAGGATACTTGCTGGATCGAGGATCATACATAGCTGGCTGATATCCTCGTCCTCCCGTCCGCGACCTCTTGTTCTCGGTGGCTCTCTCCCATACTGCTGTCCGTGGGTGGTAGAACCAAAGGGAGATTGTTGCTGGTACACTTGGGCTGACAGCTGCTGATGTTGGTCACGTAGGTCGCATACACTCGTGGTCAGATCCTTGATCATCCCCTTCAGCTCAGCGATGTCATCAGGCTTAGAGACGGGCTGGTTACTGGCCATGTTGACGGATGCGGGCTTCGACTTAGACTTCTGGATATCTGATCTGGCTCGGTTCTGTTCAAATTCTATCTCACGGAGGCACAGTCTAAGCTCATCAAAGTTGGAGATACTCTCATATTTATGAGCAGCAAGACTCTTCAGTGAAGTCTTCAATCCATCCCAAAGTCTGGACCTCAACATCTCATCCTGCTCTGCTAAAGAAATCTGCTTCTGTTCCGCTAACTGGTATAACAGTCTCTCAAGTCGACAGCTCCAGGCAGTTACGTCTTCGTCATTTTGCTGGTAGGAGCTGTAGAACTCGAAAATAATGAAGAACTTCGGCGGAGAGTACCAAAAGCACTCTTCAACTTCAACAGAACATCCACAATGGAAGCATGATGACCAAGTTTCATCACAATAAGAGCCGCCTCACCCTTCAGTGACTGACGAATAGCCTGAAGGATAACAGAGTTGTCATGGGCCTTGGACTCCATCAGACAATTCACCTCATACCGCCAAACATCATAGTCAGCATCCTTGCCGGCCGTTCCACTAAACAAAGGAAGTTTAGGGAAGTGACGATAAAGCAGCTTAGAACTAACTGGCACCTGTTCTGGCTGAGAACCATCTAAAGTGGAGGCTTCTTCCTTCTTCACAACTGGACCACCCTGCGTGGCATACTGCTTCAACCAAGACTTAAAGTCATCAGGGTTATCGGCCTTAGGATGCAACCCCATCTTAGCAAAACTATCAACAAGACTAACATATTCTTCTTCAGAGAAATTCATCTTCAAAGGCACAAGACTCCAAGTAAAGAATAAACAAAATCAGACATGGATCCAAGGCATGGATACAATGACTTGATGCAGTAGATGGTGGTTTTGTGAATGTGTCAATAGCTACTAAAGACGATGTGTTAATCCCATACAAAAGTAGCACATACAGTGAGGGTACAATAATTGTATTTTCAGCGGCAAACAAACAAATTAAAGGACATCAGTTGGGTTTTATGTGGCAAATGCAAGTATTACCCACATGGGTAATTAACAAGATTTGACCCTAAAGATTAGATTATGCCATGGTTGGCAGATGCAGAATAATGAAATATGTGGACTACAATAACTATGAAGACCACAGTGTGTCGGAACGCGTGACAATATGTACAAAACGGGTCGCGACTCAAGGCAACGCCATCATGATGTAGACATTTCACGACAAACGCAAACGGAGCAAAAATCATCGCAAACGCAAAATAATCACGAACGGCAAACGGATACTAAAGCAAAGGATGATAATTACAAATGGACCCTACATAATGAATGAATATAGACCACAGGCAAAGAGGGAGACAAAGAAAGCGAATGAGCTGGTTAGATATTTGAACTAAGTGTAGTGCAGTGCAGTTAACTATGACATTTATATTCTAAGATAAAACTGAAGTTTAATGCTAAGTTTATTTAAAACTAAAGTTTATTTGGCTAAGTTTATTGATTTAAGTATATTCCACACAATCATACTCACACGTCACACCTAAAACAATGTAAATGATTAAAGAGACTACAATATGGAAATAAGCGAGAACACAAGTGAAGCTTTGTACAAGCACAACAAAATGCTAACTAACTAAGCTGCAGCTAAGTATAAAGAAACGCAAATTGATATGGATATGTGTACACCAAATGAAAATAAAATGCAGGTTGATTAATTACATCTTATTGAGGGTAAATAACCTGCAGGTAATATGTAAACAAAAGCAATGCTACAAACCGTAAAGGTATTTAAAGAAACAACAAGGAGTTATGCCAGGCAAATATTTACAAGTTCATAATGGACAGAAAATTCGAAGATGAATGTTTACAGACATGTCAAATGTAAACAAAGTCAAAGCAATATTGCAAAAATGTAGAAACAGTACTTACAGTTCAAGATGAACAATATAAATATATCAAATTAAAGACGAGAAACAAAATAGTCCGGAAAATGAGTCACAATTCACAATCACCAAACCAAGTACAGCAAATTGTCAACTTGACCTGCCTTGGAGTCTCTGGGTCAAGGTCGCTGTCAAAGTTCAGTAAGTCCTAGGGTCACAAGACCCAACAACATGGACCTGATAGTCACTCGTGTGATGGCCAAATCGACCATAATTACAGTTCTTTCACAAACTTGCATTCCATGCGGGTATCCAGGCATCACATAAGTTCCTCACTGGGGGCTCAAACATAACCATCCGGTTTCTTGGCTTTTATCTATTATTTTATACAGATGACACCAAGACAGCTACGGGGTGTGAGGCTTACGTTTATTATATACGATAGTCACCCTGTAATAAGAAACAACAGATAATATAGTATATGCATATTAAAACATAATATAATATTATATATCATATCATCATCAAAGCAATACAATCATTTCTGTTACATTACTTACAACTATGTATTATTAGATGATACGATAGAAAATGCTTACAGTACATATTAAGTAAAATGGTTACACATACCCCATGTGTGGCACAAGGGTGAAAAACGTGATACCCTTGAAATGTCACCATTCATGATATGTCCTGCAGAAGAAAGAGCAGGAATAAATACTTAGAGTGACTAAATACACTGAATAACAAAATGCACAGCTTATGCAATTCCATTAATGTAGATATACTAGTAACTTAGCATGTATACAAGATAATATTAA